CCCCGACAGTCGTCTCCCCGTCACGCGTGAACCCCGGGCCTCCCAGTAAACGTCACGCTGTCCCGGAACGGAGAGCCCCCCGGCGACGAGTCCCAGGCCCCTCCCGCGCCCGGCCTACCAGGAGTCCAGATGGTGGTGGTTTACTCGAGGCCGCCTCCTGGCGCGGCCACAGGGCGTGACCCGGTGTGACCAGCTCGCTTTTCTTTGGCAGAAAAAGTGGATCCTGGTGGCGGTGGCGGTGGTGCTGGTCGCTGTCGTGGCTCTGATTATTGGCTTATCGGTTGGCAACTGAGGCTGCGGATGACGCCAGGGTGCATGCGTCTGCCGCGCGGCAGTAAGTAACACTAACCCGCTAACCTTCCGGCCGCTCTGCCTGCTGCCCCGACTCACCCAGCTGGCGGCTCACTAACCTCCCAGCGCCTCGCCGTGGCCGCTGAGCGTCTTCAGGCCCAGGCCGCCTCCTCCTCCTCCTCCTCCTCCGCTTCCTCCTCTTCCTCTTTTTAAAGACTGCCACCTAGAATACATTTTACTTTTGTTAATCCTCACCGGAGGATAGTTTTCCATTGATTTTTAGAGAGAGTGGAAGGGAGGGGGAGAGACGGTGACACACACACATCGATGTGAGAGAGACACATTGATTGGTTGCTTCCTGCTCGGGGATCGAGCCCGCAACCGAGGTATGAGCCCTTGACTGGAATCGAACCCAGGACCCTTCAGTCCGCAGGCTGACGCTCTATCCACTGAGCCACACCAGCCAGGGCTGGACTTGTATTTTTTTTTTAAATGTATTTTATTGATTTTTTACAGAGAGGAAGGGAGAGGGATAGAGAGCTAGAAACATCAATGACAGAGAAACATCGATCAGCTGCCTCCCGCACGCCCCCCACCGGGGATGCACCCGCAACCAAGGTACATGCCCTTGACCGGAATCGAACCTGGGACCCTTCAGTCCGCAGGCCGAAGCTCCATCCACTGAGCCAAACCGGTCAGGGCACGGACTTGTATTTTAAACTCTCGAGTCCCAGGAGAAGCTTGTTAGGAAATGACACGAGTGACTTCTTTCCTTCGATGCCTCGCAAATTAATTACTGTTTTTCTTTATCTTGCAGAAAATGATGTGCATTGTTATTTGTGTAATTATTTTGCTTGTGATCCTTGGAATTATCCTAGCAACAACGTTGTCATAGCAACCGTAGCCCACGAGCCCTTCGTCCTGGAGCCAGCCCTCCCACGTCGGGACACGGAGAACGCCGCCCGCAGCCCGGACGCGATGCGTTAGCCCCGCATCCTCGGCTCCATAGACAGCACGCCGCAAACCTTCAGCAATGTGAAACAGTGGCCTGAAGATGGGAATGATTGACATTTTCAATTTTTTATATTTCAGTGTTAAGACTATTTGTATGTCGCGTTTCACGAGGAATATTTTATGTTTGAAGCCACGGGATTCCAGGTCTGAGACTTTGTGTGCCCCCCCCCTCCCTCCCCCGGCTCACAAGCTCACTGACGCTTTTGTACCGTTTCCTTCGTGTTTACTGTTCGCAAGGAAATCCTCGTTATTATCACAGAGCTGTTTTGTAAGATATCTCTGACGTTAAATGTTTATAAATTAACTGTTTAATATATTAACCTCTTAATTTACCCCGTTTTTATATATTAAGTGCTGCCTTTTGAAAGGAATAGGAGACACGGTGTCAAAGCCGTCTTCGCCCAGATGTTTACAAGGTTGGCGGCTGCCACAGGGGACAGAGGCCGCACAGCCCCTCCCGGTGCCCCCTGTGGGCACTGGGCGGGGAGGGCCACCGTGCCAGGCCCAGGGGA